CAGACTCCCTGGTCTCAGCCAGTCCATGTGCGACTCAGGCAGCTAGCTCAAATGCTGCAGACAGAAGATTCCAGACTCCCTGGTCTCAGCCAGTCTATGTGTGACTCAGGCAGGTAGCTCAAATGCTGCAGACAGAAGATTCCAGACTCCCTGGCATGCTCTCCTGTCTGGCACCGTCATTGATTTTCAGTGCAGTGTTAATTGGAGTTTGGGATTCACAAATCTGTTAGACTGCAAACCACAAGTCCTCTTCAGCATCAAAAAGGTTTCTACAGGGATTCCACATCTTGGTGCTAAAGAGCTGCAAATGTGTCATCTCCCTGAAAATTGAAAGTACTTTTATGGGTCACACATTGATTGAAGAAGGAGGCAGCCCCCTTCTTTCTCTTTCATGAGGGCCCCCTTTACCTTGGGCTGAGTTGTCATGTCTCAAAACCTCTTCTGGTTCTTTCAGGTAATAGGTACAGCTCTTCTCTCAGGCATGGGAACATCCTCTGAAAGCTCACCTCCAGTGTGTTCTATCTTTCTTTTGCCCCCCATTCTCCATCCCAGCCCACCCCAGCCCCATCTTTCTTAGAGTAGAAATCCTCTAGTATAAACACAGGGCATGGTGGTGGTGGTCGGGAGCGGGGAGCTTCATGTCTTCTCCTGCCTCCTTCTCATCTGTGGTTTGGGGTCCTTGCAGGCTGACACAGGGAGGGAAGATGAAGATGGGAGCAAGGGCAGGAGTTCCTGGGTGGCTTGCTGGTCAGACCTAGATGCTGGTCACTGCATCCTTCTCTCGTGTGGTGTCCTCTTTAGTGATGTCGTCCTGGTCTTCTCTGGTTTCGTGACATCTTGAGTGGGAGGATACTCAGGCCTTACAGGAAACTCGGGAAGATTCTTTCTCCAAAGACCCCACATCTGGACTATGACAAATAGGCACTTGAATTGGTGGTTCTGTGGTAGAATCTTTCCTTGTCTTCCATAAGGGAGACCGGGGTTCCATTCCTGACCAGTGCACCACAAGCATCCTCCCTAACCCCTGGAGGTTTGTGTATTGCTGTGATGCTGAACAGGTTTCAGCAAAGCTTTCAGAAGAAAGACCTGGCATTGTCCCCACCACAGGAACACAGGGAGTGGGGCTTTCTTGCTTTGAGAACATTCGCTAGAGGAGAGCATGCATATACAGGGCATTGGTCCAGTTCACATGCATTCAGGTTGTGTGCTCATCGATTAGCAATCACTGGGAACAATTCAACACTTGGGCTGAGTCTCAGTAGAACCATTAATAGAATGGGCCTCATTCTTGTAGAGCTGTGATGAAGGCTAAGAGGGGTCTTACGCACAAGGAGCCAAGGCTGCTCAGTGTCAGTCTACTTCTTTGTGGCTCCACAGTGCCCGATACCAGGCTTTGATGACTAATGTCCTCACGACCATGCAAAACACTTGAGAGCCAACAGAGAAAGGCATTTTCAGGAGAATATGGTTAACTGAAAGGAAGAGGAGGCCAGAGACTGGGGAAGAATCTATTTATTTATGTTTTAATTTCCCTAAATCGGTTTCAGGGTGACAGGATCCTGAGCACATGCTGAGGGTCTCCATTGAGCTTTGAAGCATGAGCCATTCAGAGGCTCCTGCAGGTCCATGCAGGCCTGGGCAGGAATTACAGAGAATCCGGGTAGCTGATTTCAGGCAGCAAGGATTTTGAAGTCCACTTGATTTAATGGTTCTCAACGGGGCAGGGCTGTTTTATCCTCAAGTGACATTTGGCGCTGCGGGTTAATGCTTTGGACCACAAGGTCGGTGATTCAACCTACCTGACTAGTTGCTCCTCAGAAATCCTAGACAGGGTCTCTGTGAGTTGGAAGTGATTAGACGGCACGTAACAACAACACAAGAGACATCTTGGTTGTCACTACTGGGGATGGGTTGCTGTTAGTGTCTTCTGAGTAGAGTCTAAGGATGTTGCTAAGCATTCTGCAGTGCACAGATCAGTGCCCTCCTCAGGTCTGTCTGGTCTACACGGCAGTAAGGCTGCGGTTGAGCATGTCTCCTCTAGACTGACCACACTTTCGTATCTTCTACTCTGCAAAGGCCCCTCAGGTCATAAGGAGACTCACTGCTTCCTATCACAGCCCACCTTCCTGGGAAGCTCTGTTAGAGCATCCGTGATGTCAGGGAGCAGTTCACCCCTGTGTACCTTCCCTCAGTCCATTCTCAGCTCTGTTCATGGTGTCCACCTGGGATGCTGCTCAGTCTGGGTGACAGTTCAGATTAGCAGAGCTCCTTTAAGTTACCTCTTTGCCTCCTCCAGGGTAGACACCAAAGCTCTTCGTCTGTGTGCTTTTGTTCATTATTGTTGCCTTTGGTTGTTTCTATTTCATTTATTAAGGATGCAGACATTCTGCTTCGCAATACTATCCAGCTTATCTCTTTATCTTTTCAAAACATTGACTTCCAGGAACTGCTGCTACGTGCATCCATTAACTCTATCCATTCAGTGCACAGAATTAATCACCTCCCTCTTTCTTAAGTCTCTACTCCTTTTAATATTACCAAATTCTTTTCCATGTTTTTTGTATCTTTGTTAGCCCAGCTTTCATTTTACCTCCTGTTGGTCCAGCTTTCTGGATGTGCCAAAGATCAGACCACCTGGGCTCAAGACAACACAGGAAGCCTTGTTTAATGAAACCGCACAGATCTGTGGCCACCCTGCATGAGCGAGTCTGTAGATACCCTTTTTCCAGCACCATGTGCTCAGTTCATGTCTCTGGGACATATTTTGGTCATTTCACAATATTTCAGACTTTTTCATCATGCTCTTGCACATTTCAGAATAGTGTAAACATCGCTGGGAAACTCCCCCAAAATCACGCATCTCACTTATTGGAAATACTTGTTTTATTGCAGTGTTCTGGAACTGAACCCACAATACCTTGGACATACACCTATAATGTGCATTAGGTCAGAAGAGACTGAGGAGCCCCACAAACCTAGATCTGGAACTTGAGTTTCACCTGGGACTATAACAGTGAGCCCACGCTGGCTGTGCTTTGTCATCTATATATGGCAGAGTGCTATAATTATCTCATGAGATTGTCATCGAAATGGTATGCTTTATTCATAGTGTTGTTATAAGGTGCCGTCATTTCAGCTATGACTCATAGTGACCTGAGGCACAATAGAATGCAGTGGTGCCCGGTCCCTGTGCCATCATCCAGTTATTGTTACACTGGAGCCCATGACTACAGCCACTGTGCCAATCCATTGTTTATGACCTTCCACTTTACCAAGCATACAACCCTTCTTCAGGGACTGGGTCTTCCTGACAACATGTTCAAAGTATGAGAGATGCAGTCTGGCCGTCCTGGTTTCTAAGGAGCACTCTGGCTGGAGTTCTGTCAACACAGATGTGTTTGTTCTTCTGGAGGTCTATGGTACTCTAACACCATAACTCAAATGCATCAATTCTTCTACAGTCTTCCTTATTCACTGCCCAGCATGAGGCTATGGAAAGTACCATGGCTTGAGTCAGGCATACCTTAGTCCTCAAACTAACATCTTTGCTCTTGAACTTTTTAAAAAGAGGTCTTGTGTAGCAGATTTGCCTAACACAATATGTCGTTTGATTTCTTGACTGCTGCTTCCATGAGTGTTGATTGCAGACCAAAGCAAAATGAAATCTTTGATAACTTTAATCTTTTCTCCATTTATCATGATGATATTTATTGGTTCCTAGTAAGACCTTAATAAATTGTCAGAATATAAGTAGATGTATATGGTACCCACCTTTGCCCCCACTTCCTGCCTCCCTGGCATATTCTTTTCTGACTTTCCATGGAGGCGGGTTGGCTCCGGAGTGTTCATTAGCTTTTTGAAGTGACATCATTTATTAGCACACAAACTCTAAGCAGAAAGAGGTTCAAAGAAGCAAAACCTATTGGGCTGTCTCAGGAATCCATACCCCTTTGCCTTCCCCCTCTCTATGCCTCAGTTTCCTTATCTGTATAGGAAGAAGAAAGTTTTCCCTAAAGATATCCGAGCTCCCTGCCCTTCTCCCAGAAGATGCTCAGGCTAGCTTTCTTTTGCCCTGTTTTCAGAAAGCCTTGTAGGGTCAAGTTGTGGGTTTCCTGAGCTTGTGAGTCGTGCCCATCCCTCTTGGGGGCTAGCATACTGTTATTGTTGTTGTGAAGTGCTGTCAAGTCAGTTCTGCCCCATAGCAACCCTGCATAGGGTTTCCGAGGAGCAGTTGGTGAGCTTCAACTACCAACGTTGCGGTACAAACCGACTTTGCAGTCCAGCACATTAGCCCACAGTGCCACACCAGGACTAGCATAGCTGGTGGTGTGCTGCATGGCTTCCTTTGCAGAAATCAGACATGCAGCAAGACCAAAATGCTAGAGCAAAGACAGAGGGCCAGGGATGCTCATTGAAACTGGGCACACTCATTAACAATCATATTTGAGTCTCCCAGGGAGACACAAAAAGGCACATAGTGCCTGGCCTATAGGAATGGTGATTTAAGATATCATGGTTTTGGAAGCTGGAAACCCAAATCTGTGTATTCATCCATCTATAAACACTCTCCAAAGTCTCTGGGGGAATGTTCTTTCTTGTCTTTGTCAGTTCACTTGTGAATGCATCTTCTAATGGCTGTGTTCCCTGTGTGTCTCTTCCTTTATAAAGACACCACTGAGATTGGACAAAGAGCCAGCCTACTCCAGCCTTCCAAACACATTTATGTTCCATGGATTAGGGGTTAGAATGTTACCGTATCTTTGTAGGGGGCACAATTCAGTCAACAGCAGAAGTCATCCATCCGTTTACTTTAATGAGCAGACATTTGGCCACCGTGGACTCTGCCCAGTACTGAGCTGGGTGTGGGGTTAGCCTGATGCCCCAGTAATAGCTCCTGCCCTTGATCAGCAAGGCTCTAACAGAGGTCAACTTGCAAAGGTCATGTAGCGTGTTAATGCAATACTGGGCATGTGGGGGCAAGTGGTAGTACGGCGGGAGGGCATGAGAAGGGTCTTGCTCATTAATGGTATGAGGTTTCAGTATGGGTCCCAGCCTGTCATGTAGCAGCTGTGTGATTCTAGTGAGTTCTTTTCCCACTCCGATCCTCAGTTTCTGCAATCCTGAGGAACTAGGATCTTCCAGGCGGAGTGTTTGCAGGAGCGAATGAGGCTGTGCTACATGTCTACCAGACCTTCACCAGCTGACTTCCCTGCTTCCCTTCCAGGCTGTGTGATGTGGTCGGGGCACCCATGATCAGCAGTCGTACTCTGGGGCTGCACTTTCACCCGCGGACGGGGCTGCACCATCAGGTCCCCGTCATGTTTGACTACTTCCACCTGTCCGTGATCTCCGTAACGGTCCACGCCGCCCTGGTGGCTTTGCAGCAGCCCCTGATCAGGTATGCACGGATCACATGCCCGTCTACACGTTCTACCCAGGGGCAGTGACACAAGTGTATGCAATGAACCATAATCCCCCAAACTGATAAGTGTCACCCAGAGATAAAAGTTTGTTGGTTGTTAGGTGGTGTTGAGTTGGTTTTGACTCATAATAAGCGTTTGCACAACAGAACCGAACACTGCCCGGTCCCACACTCTCCTCACAGGATAGTGTCATGATTGCTACGATAAAGAGTCGTGTGTCCACTCGTAGTGACCCTGTGTAGGCTTTCCAAGGTTGTCAGTCTTTGTGGGAGTAGAGGTCTCATCTTTTCCTGCAGAGCGGCTGGTGGGCTCAATCTGCCAACCTGTGGTTAGCAGTCCAGTGCTTACCCTACAGAGCTGCTGCATCCATTGTTGAGATAAAGAGTTGTTTTTAAGTGCCATCGAGTCAGCTCTGACCCATAGCAACACTTTATAGGGTTTCTAAGGAGTGACTGGTGAGCTGGAGCCACCAACCTTGCAATTCAAACGACTTTGCAGTCCAGGGAATGAACCCACAGTGCCAATACCAGCACTCCTGTGTGATTAACTGTGTGGCAGTTATGTGCCGTGGAGTCGGTACCGACTCATAGCGACCCTGTACAGGGTTTCCAACGCTGTAAATCTTTACAGGAGCAGAAAGCCTCATCTTTCTCCCATGATACAGCTGGTGTTTTTGAACTGATGACCTTAAGATCTGTAGCCCAAATTATAACCACGACACTACCAGAGTAGGCAGAGATAAAGTGCAGGGTGAGTCGATGTCTGAAAAAGGGACCTTGTATGCCTGCATCAGTGGTGCAGTGACAGGACTCTCACCTTCATCGTGGGAGATCCAGGTTCAAGTCACCCCATCATGGCTGATACTAAACAGGTTCCAGCGATTTCCGAGCTAGAAGGAAGGCTTGGTGAAAAATCTACTTCTGGAAGCCCTGTGGGTCACAAGGGCCCAGTGTTCCTCACTCATCAGACCCAGGCAATTCTTCCTTCTGTTGAGCGTGGGGTTAGCTCCAAGTCAGCTAACACAAAAAATTAACCAGGAATCTGTTCATTGGGTAAGAGGAAGTGATTCCAGGTCATTCAAGCAAGCGCCTGGTAAGACCTATGTTTTGTAAACCACCACCACCACCGGTAGCTGGGAGGGAATACACTGGTAACTCCATCCGAGCACAACATGGTGATCACCCAGCCACAGTAGAGCGTGGCGTCCACAGAAATGGACGGAGAAAGAGGTGTTGCCCTTGGCTGCTGGGAGCCCTGCTGATATTCTCATGAGGACCAGGAGGTCGGAAACCTGTTAGTTGAAAGTTTAACCTTCTGAAAGAAATAGTCTCTCGCACTTTTGTCTGGAGCAGGCTTGCCAGGCATGGAGGACCGAGAGAAACTCACACTAGGAGCAGGGGTTTCTCTGGGGATGGGGTAAAAATAGCTCTCTGTCTTCTGTTCTCTGAGTTTGGCAGGAAGCTCTCTTAGCAGTGAGCTGCCAGCCAGAAGCTAGGAACAAAGGCAACCCAAGAAGGTGATAGAAAACACCTGCCAAACAGGGCAACCTCTAGCTTTTCTGGAAAAGCTGTTGTTAGCAGCGTCACTTGCCTCCCATTAGTACAGAAGCAGGTATGAAATTAAAACTTAACCTCAAAAACCCTTCACCTTCACTGAAACAGACGGAGGAAATGTCTAATTTTAACCCTCAAGTAGGAACAGTTGTATTTCAGTTAAGATCTTCAGCTCCACCGGAAAAGTTAACTGAGGGTCACACATGAATGAATGAATGGATGGATGAATGAATGAATGATACAGTCATTTGCAGCTGTGTCCTGAATGTGCCCTGAGCATCTGTACCCATCAATTTCCTTTCTGGAATGTTCTTTCTGTCCATCTCCTAGGTAAATCCTAGGCTAGCTTTAAATAAATCTCAACACGAAAAAAATAAAACAGATCACTGGTTGTTGTTGTTAAGTGCCATCATGTCCATTCCAACTCAGCAACCCTGAATAAGTTTTGAACCGCCAACCATGTGGTTCACAGTCTAGTGCTTATCCTATAGCGTCACACCAGGAGTCTGGAACAATGATTATAGGGATAATATTTTAGTTATTTTCAACAATACAAGGGGGCTCCAAAAAGTTCATGAAAAGATTCCATCATCTATTAATTCCAATTTTTCTATGAACTTTCTGAAGCCTTCTCAAAGTTACTAGCATCTCATAGCTACTAGTTGAATCTTTACTATTTACCTGGAGCTAGCAGTAGGGGGCGCCCTGGTGTGGTGCTGTGGGTTAACACGTTGGACTGCAAAGTCCTTTGAACTACACTTCAAGGTCGGCAGTTCAATCTCACCAGCCGCTCCTTGGAAACCCTATACAGGGTCATTATGATCGGAACCTACTGGAGGGCACTTAACAACAACTACTAGGAGTCTTAGTGGGACGCTTTAGAATAAGCACTGGACTGCTAACCACAAAGTCAGTGGTTCAAACCCCCCAGCCGCTCCTTTGAAACCTTATACACGATTACTTAACAACAACAACAGCCAAGAGTCCTGATGATGCTGTAGGGTAAGCATTGAACTGCTAACTGCAAGGTCGTCAGTTCAAATCCACCAGCTGCTTTGAAGGAAAAAGATGAGGCTCTCTGCTTCCATAAAGATTTGTTGTTAATTGCCATCGAGTAGGTTCTGACTCATAGTGATCCTGTAAGAAGTTTCCATGGAGCGGTTGGTAAACTTGAACCTCCAACCTTGTGGTTCAGACTGACTGTGCAGTCCAGCACATGAAGATGTACAGTCTCAGAAACCCTTTGTTCAACTTCCGTTCTGGAATGTCGCTGTGAGTTGGAATTGATGACTGGAGGTTTGGTGGTTGGTTTTGTTTTTGACCAGTTACCCGTCCTGTGTCAGAGTAGACCCGTGCTCAATGGCGTTTTCAGTGGGTGACTTTTCAGCAATAGATCATCAAGCCTTTATCTAAACCAAGGTATCTTTTGGGTAGACTTGAACTTTGCAGGCTCCATACTTAGCATGTCACATGGGCTCTTGACCCGTCTTGTGGTGCTGGGATCCAGCCTTCTAACAGGAAGAAACAGAGACACTGGGCGGGGTGGAGGGGTCCCACAATTGATACCCAGACAGTCTGGCTTCATGGATTGCCTCCTACCCATCTAACTGTCATCTCTAATGATTTGATCCGTTGTCCTCTGTCCTTTGTGCGTATCACCCGGTTTGCCTTATCCACTGCTCATCTGTGCTTGATGAGGCAGAGTTTAACTTCCCCGTATGTACCTGTAAAAACCTCTGGATAAGCACTGGATTGCTAACCACAAGGTTGGCGGTTCAACCCCACCAGCCTCTCCTCAGGAGAAAGATGAGGCTGTCTGCTCCCAGAAAGATTTACAGTTTTGGAAACCCTGAGAATCAGAATGGACTCAGTGGCTGTGAGTTTGGGGTTTTGTTGTTATATTGTTATGGTTAAGTGTTGCTGAGTCAGTTCTGACTCATGGCAACCCTGTATAGGGTTTCCAAGGAATGGCTGGTGGGTTGAAATGCCCACCTCGGGTACGCAGTCCAGAGCTGATCCTACAGGGCCATACCAAGAGCCCCTTTGGTTACGATATCTGTGGTTGTCGGTCTCCCAGTGTAGACCAAAAAATATGGTCCCAGCACCTAGCACGGCCTGTGCCTGGTAAACATGTGAATGAATGAATTGAACAGGATTATAATGGGAAGATCATTCCCTATCAGTGTTTTAAGTAGGAATGTGGATCTCTTTAATGAACGACGCCTGAGCATGTGTAGTGGAAGAAATGCCATCTGCGGCCAAACACGTATCAAGACCGTCTGTGCCTTCATGGAAGCTCACTGAGAGGAGAACCTAACACAAACTCACTGCCTTCTATTTGATTCCAATTCATAGTGGCCCTATACGACGGAGTAGAGCAATTCCTCTAGGTTGCTGAGCAGATAGACTCAGTATTTTCCCTGAAGAGCAGGGCAATCCTTAACTAACTGTAGCACCAGAGCTGTTTGGGGGATGTTGTTGTTGTTGTTGTTGTTGTTAAGTGTCCTTGAGTCAGTTTTGACTCATAGCACCCCTGTGTGGGGTTTCTGAGGACTGGCTTTCGGGGGAATAAGACACACCAGTTAAACAGCATCCATTTTGCTGGGATCTGCTATCAACACTCATGGAAGCAGCAGTCAAGAGGTCAAACAATGTATTGCAATAGACAAATCTGCTGCACAGGAACTTTTTAAAGTGTTCAAGAGCAGATGTCAGTTTGAGGACTAAGGTGTGCCTGACCCAAGCCATGGTATTTTCAATAGCCTCATGTGCATATGAAAGTTGAACAGTGATTAAGGAAGGACATAGAAGAATTGAGTTATGGCATTGGAGAAGAATATTAAAGGTGCCATGGGCTGCCAAAAGAGCAAACAGATCTGTATCAGAGGAAATATAGCCAGATTGTTTCTTAGAAGCCAGGTTGGCCAGTGAAAGGGAAAAAAACAACCCAGAGCCTCCGCTCATCAACCACACTGCACACCAGGTGGCCCATCTAGAGACTTTTATTCAGGGTGAGGAAGAGGAAGGTGACCTGTGCTGGAGAGAGAAGACAGGAGACAGAAGAGAAGAGAGAAGAGAAGGCAGAAAGAATAGGGGGCAGAAAGAAGAGGAAGTCAACGGGAAAGGAGTGGTCTTATATAGGTTCAACAGGAAGGGAGTGGGCATTGCTGGGGTGATTTAGCTCTGGCCCTATCAAAAGCCATGTTGCCCTTTAAATTACACACCTTGTAGTTTAGGGCGGGGAAACAGAAACCTAAGATTACAAAATGAAGTTATTTTGATGTCGGGGTAGCTCTGACAGAAAAAATGTACCATAATTAACCTTTGGCCATAGGCAGAGTCTGGATCGAGATTAGTATATTGCCGCAGGCCGTTAGTGAGCCGCTGGAGAAACGCGGAAGGATTTTCCTTCTTGTCCTGGATAATTTCACCAAGTTTATCAGTCAGACTTCATTTCTCCTACTGTGTACATATTATCAGGAGGGACCAGTCCCTGGAGAAGAACATCATGCATGGTACAGTGGAGAGGGTCAGAGAAAAAGAGGCAGACGCTCCAGGAGATGTATGGGCCCAGTCATCAACAGTGGACTCGAGTTTAACAATAATTCTGAGGAAAGTGCAGGACTAAGCAGTGTTCCATTTTGTTGTACTTAGGATCACTCTGAGTCAGAGATGACTCAATGGCACATAACTACAACAAAACAACAACAGATGAGAATACTGAGCCCTGGTGGCATTGTGGATTAAGCATTGGATTGCTAACCAAAAGGTCAGTGGTTTGAACCCACCAGCTGCTCCTTTTAAGAAAGATGAAACTGATCTATAAAGATGGCATCCTCCCAAACCATCCTGGGCAGTCCTCTGTCTTACAGGGTCACTATGAGTCGATAGTAGTGGGGTTTCTTAGTCAGACGAGGAAACAATGAACCATTAGGATATTTAGTGTAAGAGACCTAAAAGAAAGAAAAACTAAGTCTATGTAAACTGCCAGTGTTTCTAAAAAGGGCAATCAAAGGCGAAAGTAGAGAAAGATAAACATAAGCTCATATAAGATTAATTCAGATAGCTTCCCAGCCTTTCCTAGCCACCTGTGACCCCAATAACTGACCTGAAAGCAGTTCATCTTGAGGGAAACCTCTGAGTTGGGCAGAGACTGAGTTTTTACAGTACCAGTTCACCTGGATGTCACAAGAACGTTACTGGTGGCACCATGCTCTTGTGTGCATTGTGGAGGCTTGCATGGTGTTATGGTCTTCCACGGAAGAGCAGGGGAACTCAGAGAGGTGGGACTGAGGAACTGGTGGGCAATGTTGCTAGGAGGCGTGGAAACAGGACCAGACCTCATGGGGGGAAGGGGGAGGAGCCTAGTTGTTCTAGTTTTCACAGCCTCTTCCACCTGCCATCCCACCACGCTACCTGCAGCCCTGCCTCGGTGGCCCTCAGAAGCTTTGCACTGATGGGCATTCTTCTTGGCTCCCAAGTTTTCTGGGAGCTGAACCCTCTTGTCCTTGTGACATTCAAACATGTTCCTTCCCCATTTTGAACACCCTCGAAGGGATGAGCTAAAGAGGATACAGGAAACAAACCCACTACCATCAAATCTGTTTGATTCCATTCCGACACACAGTGACCCTGGAGGACAGTGTACGATGGTCCCAGAAGGTTTCCAAGGCTGGGCATATTTACCTTTCTGTGGCGGATTCAGACTGCTCATCTGTTGGTTAGCAACTGTGCTCTTAACCACTGTGTCCCCAGGCCTCGTTACAGACTACAGTGCCATCGAGGTGGTTCTCACTCAGTGTGACTCTGTAGGACATGGTTTGACCACCCAGAGGGTTTCCAAGCTGGAAATCTGTGAAAACCACAGACCGTTGGGTTAGCAGCTGAGTGCTAAATCTCTGAACCACCAGGGCTGCAGTAGATGAAGTGCTCTTCCTAAAAGGTTTTACTCAACAGGTCCATTTGTACACCCTCCCAAACAATCCCCTTCACACTCATGGCGGGGGACACCCCATGTTTTCGCCATGTGACCGAATCAAATTCCAATTGCTCCATAGGGTTGTGGTGTTTGATTTTGGTAATCTTTACAGACAGCCCTGGTAGTGTAGTAGGTTGCTAACTAGAAGGCCATCAGTTCAAATCTACCAGCCACTCCACAGGAGAAAGACAAGGTTTTCTGCTCCTGTAAAGATTCACAGCCTTGGAAACCCTATGTAAGGTCACTGTGAGTCGGAACCAATTCGACGGTGCACTGATCTTCACAGAAGCAGATGACCAGGACTTTCTTCCATGGAACTGCTGGGTGGGTTTAAACTGACAGCATTGCGGTGTCACTCAACAATCTTTCATTCAAGGAAGCCAAAGCTCATGGCACCTTCACTTACAGACATCCTTCTCCCTCTTCAATTCCCTTCGTTCTAGTTTCACTCGTCCGGGAAGAGGCTCCTGGCTCAGCAAAGGAGGCCCCGACGCGGGACCTGAACAGTCCAGCATTTCTCTGGAGAACTTGGTCTTTGGAGCTGGATACTGTAAGCCCACGTCCTCAGAGGTAAGGTCTTCCTAGTGGGAGAGGCCATGCGGCTCTGCCAACTTCTGTTTGCATGTTTACCTCTTCTCCATCGGTGGTGGTGGTGGTGTGCTGTGGGATCGGTTCTGACTCATAGTGACCCTGTACAGGGTTTCCAAGGTTGTAAATCCTTACAGGAGCAGAAAGCCTCATCTTTCTCCCACGGAACAACTGGTAGTTTAGAACTGCTGACTGTGAGTTTCGCAGCCTGATTTGTAACCACTACGATACCAGAGCTCCTTCCTCAGTACTTCATCCAAATGTCCCCTCAGGAGTCCTTGCCATGTTTATTTCTTCCTTTGTTTGATTTTTCGATTGGGATCTGGGTGAAAGTTTATAGGTTTTCCATTCAGCCTTTCACACACGTGCTTCATGCCCTTGACAGAATGCGAGATTCCCACTGCCTCCCTATGTTCCCGTTTCCAGTCTCCCTTCTTTCCTATCCCTCCTGACCTTCTGAACATTGTCTTTGGGCAAATGCTGTCCTTTTCCTGTTCCTTTCATCTGTCCATCCATGCCTTCTTTTTGTTATTGTAACACTTATCAGATATAACCCTATGGCAGCCCCTGGACTGAACCCAGAAGATAGAGTCTTCACGGGGCACCTTTTCCGAAGGAGATCACAAAAACCCTGAAGTGAGGGAATTTCCCCAGGCCACATGGGAGCCAGCCTGTGGAAGGTGGTTCCAGGCTCAGACTGGCTGGGACATGGGAGCTGCACCCTCTGACTGTGAAGTCCACTTCCAAGCTCAGAGCCCAGGCAACAGATCTGGCTGCAAGAGCTGCCCAGGCTGTGTGTCCAGCTGGTCCACCGCTCTGCTTGACACATTCTCCTTAATGAAAGCCAGAGCTGCCCAGGCCCTCCTGAGGAAGAGAGGCCAGTAGCCAAGTCACCTTGGTGCTGGGGAAGGGCAGCATTAGAACCCAATTAAAGTGGACTCCAGGGACTTAGAGATGTATGACCTTGGACAGCCGTCCAGCTTCACCCTGGACCCAGCAGCAGTGTTTGGAAGCCATCAAGTTTGGGGGTGTCTGTGTCACCCACGTGCATGTAGGGTTTGGGATTCCACCATAAGACTGGACTTCCTGCTTGCTCTATACCTCCAGGGCCTAGTACAGACTCTTGGGGTTCAGTGGATGCTAAGGCATGTCCTGATACCACCCCTCCCTATGCTGGGGGTATTAGCAGCTGACTCTGTGGGGCCATCCCAGCTACAAAGCACCTCAGATATCAACCAGCTCTCACCTCCCCACTGCTGTTGTTGTTGTTGTTGTTAAGTGCCATCGAGTCGGTTCCGACCCATAGCGACCCTGCTGAATAGGGTTTCCGAGGCTGTAAATCTTTACGGGAGCAGATCGCCTCATCTTTCTCCCGCGGAGCAGCTGGTAGTTTCGAACTGCTGACCTTCCGGTTCGCAGCCCGATTCGTAACCACTATGCTACCAGAGCTCCTGCTAGCTGGTCCCAAAAACCTCCCCAGGGAATCTGCCATCAGCTCCACAGGTCAGCCCGAGGTGTCTTGTCAGACAAGAACCCTCGCTGCCCCATTGTGGTCCATCCCCATCGTCTGCAGGTCCCTGCACATACCCCAGGCCTCGTCCAGGTACCACCTTCTCCCTGAAGCTCTCCCAGATTTCCTTGTTGTTAGGTACTGTCGAGTCAGCTATGGTTCATATGGATCCTGCGTACAACAGAAGGAAACACTGCTTGGTCCTAGGCCGTCCTCACAATTGCTTGTTTATTTGTTACTTTTAGTCTTTCCCACCACCCAAGTTAACATGTGTCTACCCTCTAGCCAGTGACTCTCCCCCTTCCCTTTCTTATGTTTGGATCCCCCGTTGAAGCCACTGTCAATCCATGTCATTGAAAGTTGCAAAGATGGCACCAACCAACCCTCCAGTGTACTCTCCGCTCAGCTCGGGTCAGTCATGTTTGTGCAATGAACACACAGAACTCAGACACCACACTCACAGTTACGCTGTTTATCAGGGAAGTTAGCAGGTGCCATGCATGGTGAGAAATTCTCACACACAGCTCTCTTGCTCATGACAGCTTCTCCTTAGCTGTCGCCACAGGTAGGCCTTTCCCTTGTCCTTGGCCTCTGCCCTGCTCCTGTAATGTTACAGCGCTTTTTCAAGTGCCACTGACAGATGCCCAGGGGCCATACCGTTCCGCAGTAAGTCTCAGCCTGAAGGTGCTCGGCTCCATGGGTCAGCAAACCTTACCTGCCTCCATTAAGTGCTTGGAGGCACCCCATTCTGCAAGCAAGCCTCCTGCCCAAAGGCACTCAGCTTGACTTGCTCTGTAAGCTGGGAGCCCCCAACTGTGTCCTGCTCTGACTTGGGGAACTCAGCACTTTGTTCCTGCTCTGTTGCAACTCTGTATGGAGTTTCCAAGGAGCAGCTGGTGAGCCTGAACCACCAACCTTGTGGTTCAAACTGACTTTGCAGTCTAGCGCATTAACCCACATAGCCATCCTGTCTGTATAGGGTTCCCGAGTCTGTTAATCAGAAAGTCTCATCTCTCTCCTGCAGAATAGCTGGTAGTTTTGAACTGCTGATCTTGAGGTTAGCAGTGAAACTCATAACCAATAGGCTACCAGAGCTCCATGTGTGTGTGTGTGTGTGTGTGTGTGTGTATATATATATATACACACACACAATACTGGAATTATATATATGCACACAATACTGGAATGCAGGTGGGGGCTTCAAAAAGTTCATGGGAAAATTCAATTATGTTTTAATTCCATTTTTCCATGAACTTTTAGAAAGCCTTTACACTCAGATCAGACACATGGTGAGGTATAGTCTGCTATTGTATTTTTTAATTTGTTGGTTCTTTTCGGACTCCGGTGCCAGACTAGACATTCCTTTGTCCCTTATGAGAGTCAGATAAAAGTGCTTATCTCTAGGTGCTTAGCTTGAGCTCATGCTGAGAGCTTAGCTCAGTGAGTTCTTTTCAAATGTGATTCTGTTCTTGTGTGTTCTCCATTTGGGGCCTATCCAATTATCCAAACGCAGTGCCTTGCAGCCACCCAGTAAGTACCTTGCCACCAGAATGAAGAAGAAAGCCCCCTCGGCAGCCCCGTGCATCCCACAGTAAATGCGAGGTCCACAGAGACTGCATCATCAGTTGAGAAAGTGATAAAACCGGTGCTCCGTACAAAGTAAACTTTTCCTGTAGAATGGTAGCAGAGAACTGTGTTTGTTTCAATGCAGAAAGAGCAGTTGTGCTTGAAGAGGCAAGGAAGGTGGGGCTCCCATTCTCTCTCCAAGCATTCTAGACAGAGCATTGGGCTTTCAGCTGCTGGAGCCCAGCTTCGCTTCCATTCCCTTGCAGGCCGCAGCTCTGCCCTAAGGGGCTTGTATGTGTGGGCAATTACTCAGGCAGTTCTGATGTATGCTGACTACCTCATTTTCTGTTTCTTAGCTTTCATTACAATTACCTTTTATTATCAGTCTTTATACATCATGCCACTGGGCATCTCCTAGTAAACATCTAGGGACCACATCAGCAAATCCTGCCCTGCCATACTGTATGTACTCATGATAAGATACACACACAAAAACCGGACGGTGTCAGGTGTGGTTCGTGGGAACTTCAGTGTGTCTTAAGTCAGAGGATCCTGAGGCCCACCTCACAGTGTTGCTTCTCGGAGTGAGTGAAAGAAGCGTGCACAGGCTTGGCGCTCAGAGACTGGCACACCAGTGCCTGGTGAGATTTTCTTTCTGTTCACCCATGTCATTAGAAGGAAGGTGACTGATTCCCAGAGCTCCACGTGGTCTGGTGGGCGGAAGGTCGAGTTTCAAACCCTACATGTGCATCTATCTTTCTTTATTACCTGGGGCCAGACACCTGCCCTCTGTGCCTCAGTTTTCCCAGGTGTGGAATTGAGTTTCTGGTGGAGGCGTCCAACATTTTCTCTGCTGTTCCTCTGGGACACTCCGCGCATGTTTGATTTGTGTTCTGCATTCATCAGGCTTGGGTGAAGTCCAAGAATCTGGTTACTCTGAGTCAGGAGAACCCCATTCTCCCTCCTGGGATGCTCCACAGCCCAGCCATTCTGTGTGTACCCACCCACTCCCATCAGGCACCACCTGTAGATGCTAGACAATCTGGGAGAGGTGTTGCAATGACTAGGGGGAATGGGAGGAATGGTGACCAGGCAGAACTGACCTGTGACTTTGGACCCAACATGTGCTAATGCACTTACACATCCTGTTTTTATTAGTATTATTTTTATTGTTTAACTTTTTATTGTGACTTGAGGAAAAGTTTACAGAGCCCATCACCAGTTTACAGTCACCAGGTCAT